CTTGCCCGGAACAGAATCCAAACTGTATACTTATTGTCAGTCATCATTGCCGATAGCGGTCCTGACAGAACTATGCTTATAGGGCAGATGGCCCTACTCTGATCTCTCAGTAGGGGGAAAACTGGAACAGCATATTCTCAGACACTGCTTCTGATTGGTGGGGATAATAAACAATGGTTGGATTTTTTACCATTATAGGGTGGTCATTTACACACACTCCGGACACACATTAATGTTTAAACACCATGTAAAAATGATTTTTTGTATAAACTTCAATACTTTGGGATCTGAACAAAGCACACCATGCTTATTAGCAATAGTAACAAGCCAGCCATGCTTTCCTTAGCAATATGAATTTGCAATGTCGGTTAATAGCCCCTAGGTGGCAGCAGTGCTTTGCAGAAATGTTTTTGTTTCTACGCAGGTATGTTCCTGATATCAAAGTACATCCGTGAGAAGACGGACAGCGTTGTGATTTTCTCAGGTGAAGGTTCTGATGAGCTGACACAAGGATACATCTACTTTCATAAGGTACATGTCATTATATGCTCAGTTTACATTTACTGTCAACTCCAAATGTATTAAAAAAAAGCTACACTTAAAAATGCTCCTAAAACTGGGTGTAGCAACATTTGTGTAGTTTTATAATGTAATTCAATGACATTCAGACATTTTAAGAGGGACTTCACTATGTGAGACATTAGTGTGTTGTCATGCACTGTTAGCTGTATCTTAAGACTTGGATCGAGCTGAATTTGTGACCTGATTTGAATTAGGCGCCGTCCCCTGAAGCGGGCGCTGAGGAAAGTGTACGTCTGCTGGAAGAGCTTTATCTGTTTGATGTGCTGAGAGCGGACAGAACCACAGCTGCACACGGGTAAGACAAAATACCCTTTCCTTCTCTTCCCTTCCCACAGTAACTTGGTGATTTCCACTGTTTGTGACGTCAAACCTTTTCCACTAGACTGGAGCTGAGAGTGCCTTTCCTGGACCACAGATTCACCGCATACTACCTGTCTCTGCCTGCAGAGATGAGAGCACCGAAGGTGAGTCCTGACACCTCACAATTCAGTGATTTATCCTTCCTCATGTCAGTGTAAAATGTGTCTGTTCCCACATCGGTTACGGTGCCTGGTCTGAAGTGTAGTGCAAAAGCCCAAATATGAGCAATAATGATAGTGATGCTTAATTTATTGGTATTGCGTTTGTTTTTCAAATATCATATTAGTGTTTTTTGTAATCCGACTGAATAACTTGTTTGATTGGAGCAGAATGGTGTGGAGAAGCATCTCCTGAGGGAATCGTTTAAAGGGATGAATCTTATCCCAGATGAGATTCTCTGGAGAAGGAAAGAAGCCTTCAGTGATGGTATGACATCCTTGAAGAAATCCTGGTATGCAAGCCTGCAGGAGCACATCGAGTCTGAGGTACTACACATGTACACACAGACTATGATGTCATGGATGTGCACAGTACACGGTGTGTATCCTTTAATCTATCTTCTCTCCTTCAGGTGAACGACTCTCAGTTGGAGAAGGCTGATAAGCTGTTCCCTTTCAACCCCCCCAAAACCAAAGAAGGCTTCTACATAAGGCAGGTCTTTGAGAAGAAGTACCCCGGCCGCAGCGCCTGGACGCCACATTACTGGATGCCCCGCTGGATCAAGGCCACCGACCCCTCAGCCAGAACCTTGTCCATCTACAAGCCTGATAAAGACGAGTAATCGCATCATTCTTCAGACCTTGGCTTAACATTACATTCTTTACAGCACACATATCCGCCTCATGGAGCTGGTTCAAAATTTATGATGCTACCTTCCTCTGTTAAATTAGCTAAATTTAAGTTTTCTTTGGGTGGTTTTAGTCTTTTCTAAAGAAAAGTGAATTAAAAAGATTTGGGAACCGAAGCGAGGTATAGCTTGTTGGTTAAAGGACTTCAAACATTTGTACAGAAACCTATAAATACTATTTTTGTTACTGCTTTAAAACAAAAGAACTTAACATTAGCCAACATTGTCAAAAAAGGAGTTTTATACAAAGATTCAGAAAGCTTGAAGGGGATCCATAAGATTTCAGATCAGGGGTGCATTTCCCAAAGCCAACTATGGTAAAAATTTCTGTCTTTACCAATATATCTCAATGGAACTTGCAAACAAAGTTGACTAATGATAATTTTTGGGAAATTAACCCCTGGGCTGGAAAAGTTGTTGGTTTGATTCTTACAGGCCATGAACTTCCATTTTCAACTTGAGCTAAGCACTTACTCATGTTCCTTCAGTGGGACTGTCCCTTTGAGTGTTTTTGTATGTGTAGAATTAGTTATTTGACGATTAGTAATTGGTTGGCTAGTTAAACTGCTTTTAACCAGTGAAATTAAAGGGATGATCCAAAAAAAAAAAAAAAAAAACCTGTTCTAAACCTGTTAAATGTTGGTAACCAACTGTTTTGGTGACCAGTGACTTCCATTGAATGGACAAAAACAGACTTTTTTTTTATTTATTTTTTAAATTGTTTGTGTTCAACAGAACAAAGTTCTGGAATGACATGAGGGTGAGTAAATGGCAATTTTCATTTTTGGGTAAAATATCCCTTTCTAAAACAGTTTGTACATTTCTGAAAGTTAAATGCCTCACACTGGTTAAAGTAAGTTGAACCATTTAGTCTTATGGGGAGTTCGTTTTTATTTATTTGGTGCACCAACAATATAATCTTGCAAAAAAATAATAGTAATTTTAGATTTCATTAATGAGATGGATGTGTATGTAACATGAGTGTATAAAACATCTTCAGCCTCCTGCACTGTCAAAGACTTTTCAGTGACTTTTTAGTCCTTAATGTGCGCATAAGTTATTGATTTGAAAGATCTGGTCATGGTGTTAATAAAGCTTTTCTTCAATATATCTTGATGTGTTTTAATTAATGTCAGTAAATAAAATAATATATAAATGAGCTATAAATATACAAAGAATGTAGATCTCAAGGTCCAGAGTTGAGGACCCCTGAGATGATCTAGTTCAAATAAGGTAGATAACTTTAATAACATAAAACAAACAAAAAGCAGTATTCCAACATGAAGTGGTAGATTTTCCACTACGCACATGACTTAAGTTTTGCCCAAATGTTGTATACTCTACTAAGCTTACTTCAATACCTGTTCTAGTCAGACTATGTCTCGTCCTTTTTTTTAACACTAGCACTCGGGAATAAGATCAAGAGTGCTTCACTACAACACTATCACTTGTGAATAGAAGTAAGATCTCTAGTGTCTAGTCTGCTGAGCAGCAAAAATCAAACAGACTCCATTAATTGCCTTTGAATATGCTTTAATCTGCCGGGAGTTCTCGTAACAATCACTGAGAATCTCAGCTTCATCAAGAATAGAATAAAGGATAGAAATACAAAACACAGCAAAATAACATGACATACTACTCATGATCATTGTGTAATTTTTCTCGTATTTGATTAGTTCAACTTGTGCAAAACAGCATCCACCCACACCCTCTATTACTGGCAAAGCAAATTTAGATGTTAGAATCTTCTGAATCAACCAAATCATGGGGTTGGTGGTCCATTGTTAGTTCATCATTGAATACTCAATATATCATGGGACTATTAGATTTAAAATAACTGTCTAGCCAGGATATCTTCAGTTTCTGAAACCTCAACCCTGCTAAAACATACTTCTGATACATTATTATTTTTTAAATGTTAGGCCTGTAAAGAAAAAGAAATGTTAGTTCATGATTAGTTTTTAAAATTCCTACTACAAGGTTCAACTCAACGGTGCATGGACAATACCAGACAAAAAACTGAGGGGCTTTTATACTCAAGATAATGAACTGAATACAAACAGGTAATCTAATCAATAAGTAACCAAGGACACAAAGTGGTGGGAAAAAGAGAACAAGAGGAAATCTAACTAAGGCAGGTAAAACAGGAATTGAAACGCAATGAAAATGAAAACCAGTACAGAGCATAACAGTGACAAGAAGTGTTTAGAAAATAGGTATTTTCAAGATAATTTTTATAACTGATTTAAACTTTTCCAGGTTAAAATTAGAAATCGCTTTTGCTGAAGAATAAAACTGCATAAAGAAATACAACTGACCTTTCATTGGATTAAAATTAATTTGTTATTTTACTTTTTTACAAGACTTTTTTTAATGCAATTAATAAATTGACAGTTTTTTTTAAAGCACATCTCACTAAAGACTGTGCATAAAGACACTCTTTAGCTTAACTGCCATTACTATTATAAATGCTCTAAAAATACATTCACACTAAGTAGACAACACAGATACGTGATACTGATAGTACTGCTGCTCTCTGAGAAAGGTGGAAATTGTAATGTTTTTAGACAAAGGCATGCTTAGATATTTCAAAACACAACAAAAACAATATCTCGCATTTAAGCAGAATGACATTCAGAAAAATGTGCATCATTTAGATAAAAGCTTCTGCTAATTGAATAAATGTGAACATAATCATAAAATGAGAAGCTGGACAGATGATAATGGCAGAAAGTGAAAGCTAGCAGGACGGCCTCCTCAGGATCTTGTTGGCAAAGTAAGCTTGATAAACTCGCCATTCTAGAGAACACACAGAACAAACAACAATGTAAGCACGTTTCTGCAGAAGTCAATGTTGGTGCGTCCCAATTCGCGTACTTATGCACTATTCTATAAATGCACGTGTGTTATTGGAAGCATATATTTCACACCTGAGATTGGCTCTAAGCAGCCTGTAGGAAGTCCACAACCTCCTTATGTTCAAAGCTTCTTGCCTGAAGGTGAGAGAGGTCAATTCATGAATGATTACAGAAATCATGACATTATCAACACATCTTAACATACATATTTGATATTTGCCGACATAGAAGATGAATCCGCATAAACAAGTCATTTTGCAACATAGAAATGAGGAACAAGTAAATGCCTCATATCCACTCATACAGTGTTATAAATGACAAGTCACTGCAGGCACTGGTTGTTGGGTAATGTACTATTCCACACTGCACATCCCCATTAAACTCACCACTTCAAAAGGAGTCTTTCCATCATAACCGGACATGGCCATATCAACCCCAGCTAACTTCCAAATCTTCAATCCCTCCAAGTCACCACTTGCAGCAAGACTGTAAAACACACACCAGAAGATCTACATGAGCCATCATGAACCCCGAAGCTACTATAATTATTCCAGCTCCTGAAAATTCAGTTCTGGCATGCGTTTAATACGTTGATCTGTTCAGGAGGAGACCTCAACCTCATGTCAGCAAGACGGCAGCTTTAAATTGACACTCCTGATCCTAGATGTGGAGGTGATTTATTTATCATTGCTAGTGAGAGGTGATATGAGTGCAGTTTAATCTTGTTTTATAAAACAGTTCTGACTCTAAATTCTGACTAGATGAACCATGTTCAAATTAATTGAATTTAGTCTACAGAATCAACTAACACTGCTTGTCAGTTGTAAACATTAGACTGTTTAGTAGGCTATAGTACTACATTCCATAGAGTAATATTTTGTTTTTAATTTTTATGCTATTATTAATAATACAATTATAGATTTATAGGTCTTTGGTGACATTCAGTATGAAGACTGATGTAGCTTGAAGGTCTGACATGCCAGAAGACACAAGAAACAAGATGATGCCATGCTTAGATCCAAATTCCAATAATACTGTATCTTTGCTGTTTCAATGCAATGAAAGTCCCTTAATGACTGGTGTGAAGAAATGTGTGTGAGAGAGAGAGAGAGAGAGAGAGAGAGAGAGAGAGAGAGAGAGAGAGAGAGAGAGAGAGAGAGAGACCGACCGGCACAGCTCTGTTCCAGTATCCTGCAATTCATCACGGGAGAGGTGAGCTCCACACTTCCTCAGCAGCTCCACAACATCCTTATGCCTACAGAGAAAAGTGACATGTCTTAAAGGGATAGTTCACCAAAAATGAAAATTATGATTTACTCAACATCAATGGCCTTTATTAACCCCCTGAGCCGTGTGGATTACTTATATGATGGATGATGCAGATCTAACATGTCATAACTCTTTACATTCATTTAAGACTTTATTTAACTTGTTTAAGACGGTGCTTACAGCGATGCTCAACAAAATGGGCATTTTGGCAGAGTTTTGTTTGTTCGGTGGTGCGCTGTCTGTGCGCACAAGTTGTGTATCACACAGACCGGAGATTCACCGCACAGAGTTCTCTTTAGTGTCTAGTCACATTAGAATGGTTTAAAAGCATTTATGTGAATAAGAGTGTCGTCATATGATGGATAACGCTAGCCAAAGGATGAGGGGAAAAATGGATGTGTGCATTTGGTCCGAAATGTAATGATAGAATGTCCAACCTGCCTGTCAATGTATGTATTTCTGTCATGACAACTCTCGGAGTGTTTGGTATGGTAATGGATATGACAATGTTGATATGTTTGGTCTTGGTCTTGCTACACTGCTGCTGCTGTTATTTGTGCTGCTGCAGAGCAAGTGTGGCATTAAGCTCTGGTTAAACGGGGTGGGAGGAGGATATATTTAAGGGGGACAAGCACAGACTAATTTAAGTGATGCACCAAACTCATGCGGGGAAGACGCCACACAAACACGGCGCTGAGAAAGAATTGGAACCCCGGTAACCAGAGTGGCCTGAGCATAAAATTAGGGGTTTAAAGGTATGAAGTGTTTGTTTATTTAAATGTGTGTACATTATTTCTGTATTATTCTGATTATTTGATTTGGTTATTTCGAGTTGATTTATTTCGAGTTTTTTGGTTTTCTTTCTTTAAAGAAGTTGTTATGCTTTATGCTTTTCCTGAGGAGGGGGGATGTTTAAACCCGGTTTTAGTGAATTTGACAATAAAAGCTGTATTTATGACGATATTTTAGTACGTTGGGATCAGTCTAAGCACCCACACAACACAAGAAAAGGACTTTCTACTGCCAATACATACACAACACTCAGCTGTGAGCAAGTAATTTATGCTGCTGCTGTACAATAGCGTACATGAATAGCAGATCTATACAGGTGGAGCTGGGGAAGTTGGAGGGTTTTTGAAGAGCATGCTGCACTGCTAAGGCAAATGCTACCAAAGAATTTGATCCGAGGAAAATGTATAATTTTACACTAATGCACCTACGATCAATGTTTAAAACATGCAAGAAAAGAATGGCATGGATGATATCAAATGGCTCTATGAAGTAGGTGGACAAACTAAAACAGTAATAACATAAAAAAAAAACGATACCTCTAGATGACTTTAAAAACCTTAGTGGTGTCAGTTTGTGTAAAGGGAAGAAATATGTTTCCTGTTATCAGAAAGACCTGTTAAATAACACACATCTGCACACCCGCACATTAGTTGTGGTAAAAACAGAGAAAAAATGTAAGTTACAGCAAAACATTCTGTTATATACACATTTATAAGCTTCCTAATGCATATACCGGTAATGCAAATAGGTATTAAGCTAAACCATCCGACCTTACTGGCCTGCATGTCTTACCTGAAGTGAATGGCATTTTGAAGCGGCGTATTGCCAAAGCGATCTTTGATATAGACTGTGGCCCCTTTACTCAGCAGATACTGCACCACTTTCAGATGTCCCTCACATGCAGCGATGTGAAGGGGAGTTCGGCCATCATAATTCGCCATGCTCAAGTCAGTGCCCTAAACAACAACAATAACAAAAAAGAGAAAGCATCATTTCTTATGTCTCTTTTTCCCCTATGCTATTTGGTACAATCAAGTATTTGTACTTCATTATTGTACTTAAATATAATTTTAAAGTATCTGTTCTTCCTTTTGGGAAACCTTTTTCCTCATAAAAACATGCCATTTTGAAAGGAAGAAATCGTCACCAGCTCAGTGAGTGACACAATAGCAGTGTCCAATTCATTAACAAGTTGATTGTTTTCAGTTAACCTGTTAAATCAGTTTACAAATCACACTGAACGATTAATTTGTGAACTGGACTGCATCTGATATCACCTGTTCACGGATTCAAATGATCTGGTCACTGCATTCACTGCAGTCTGACTCAAAATGAGCCAAGAATGGGAGATCCTCTGAACGGATAATGCGAAGAGTTATTAATGCTGATTTTTAAGATTTATTATTTTAAAAGAAAATCATAGATCAGGACTGCCCGTTTTTTTTTATACTAAATCTGCTGTAAAAGATTGAGCAATTTATGCCCATCAAATGAAAAGCTTGAATGTGTGCATGTCCATATTTATCTATTACCATCTGAATGGGGTAGGTTTTAGATAAAAACTTAACATAATGCTAAAATAACACAAATGAATGCCCATGCATCCTCCCCACTGCATGATGTAATTGCATTCTTCTTAAAATGTGCACGCATTTTGCCCAATGTGACATCTTTTTATATTTGTCAAAACACATTTAGTTTGTTTTTCAAATTTGTATATACTATATGGCCTATTTTGTTATTTTCACTTGTTTACACAACTGAATTATCAGTAATAGTTATCAGTGTATGACCAGTTTCGATAATAAAATAAACATTTTAAGCAGTAGGATGGCACATATACACTTGATAAATAAATAAACATTCGTTCAGTCAGTAGTTTTTACTTTTAATACTTAAGACCATTAAAAATTTAGTACTTTTGCACTTTTACTCAAATAAATTTGAAAATGAAAACTTAATACTTTTACTGGAGTAGTGTTTTAATAGGGTATCATACTTTTACTCCAGTACTTGATTTATGTACTGAAGGTTATAAGATGTTGAGTTGCTCTAAGGCTTTAAAAGAGCTATTTGGATTTCTCGTTGAAGGGATATTCTGCAGATATTCGGTATGGCAGATGGCCCAACCGGACTGACCGTTTATGCTGTAAGCACATTTGAAGATTCAGCTTGTGTGGAAGTGTCTTTAAATGCAATTCACAATGCATCGACACGCTGACCAACGGCAACAAACACTTGGTTTTGTCAGATCAGTGTGTTGCTGTTTGTGTCTGTTGGTACACCGACTGTATATATACCGAATTAGCATTTGTTGGGACGTTAAATGCACAAAGAGTTACAAATGCAAGTCATTGCAAAGGCGCTTGCTGTTACAGCAAACACCCAAATGCTTACCATTTCTCGTATGGCCTCTAAAGCCTCAGTATCTCCAATCTTAGCTGCAGCACAGGCCAGAGTGGGCGTTAGCGCATTTCGTATGGCTTCAAGCTCCTAAGGACATCAATAATATTATAGTGGATTACAACAGTTAATCACAACTTCTTCTGGTCCTGAATATGCTAGTTCATAATGGGGCAATACAAACTCAACCAGAATAACAAGATTAGAAGAAAAAGGTCTGGCCGCCTCACCTCTTTACAGCCAACGCTGAGGGACCTGGCGATGACCTGAATAAAGCGACTGTCGCTGAGAGAGAGCTTTGCTCCCTGCAGGTCAGCTACCATCTCACCACGCAGGTTGCGACTCATCATCTTATGAACAAATAACATGTTTGTAATTCATAAAGTAACATTACTAACACTGTACTGTGCAAACTGTCCTGGGAGATGCAAAATATTGTCACTTTCTGTTTTATACTTTTCACAGTCATTTTTTTTACCTCCTCCTTCTCTTTTTTACTGATGTCCTGTTTTGCCAGCACATAGGAGAGCTTTGAAAGAGCAGCTTCTGGAGTCATATCAAACCCAGCAACCACACCCGCCTTAGCCAGAGCCTGAGAGGGAATATTAAAGAAGTACACACTCCTGGAGTAAACCCACATGAAGCCTTTCTCAAGCAAACTCCCATACCTGGCCAGTGGCGTATGCTATTGTGACTGTGCCCCTGAGGCACTGAGTGCAGTTGACAATGATGAGTCCTCTCTTAGTCGCTTTACAGATCTCATCCAGCAAGTCTTGGCGGTTATCAGGGGCATTACCACTGCCGTAGGTCTCCAAAATGACACCCTCCATGGGAGCCGTCAAAAAGGCCTTGACCTGATGTGAAAATAAAATTAAATAATTCATTCATATCTCTTCCATGATGACCATGTTTTCATGTAATTATTCTTAATAACATAATTTGACCTTATTGGTAAGAATAATAATTCATATACATGCACACAGTGTTTAACTTGGCTAAGCCATAATGCTAATGAGAAAAACACAAATGTTGGCATTATGACTATAAATGAACATGAAGAGGCGTAAAAAAAATCTAACAAAAAAACAGAAGCATATGTGTTCATAAAAACCAAGATCATAAAAAAAGGAAGAGAAAAAAATGGGAAAAGAGCCAGACTAATGTAGTAAATACCTGCTCCTCCTCCCACACTGCTCTTAATAGAGGTGGTGTAAATACTAATGCAAATTTCTGGCTTTCTTTAGGACATGCTCGGTCTCATCACATACAGAACAAATAACAGCAAATCAACAGCAACTGACCAAATAATCCACTACAGCAAATCTACGTTCAAAGCAGAATGTCTGCATGTGAGTTAAACTTTCATCATCAGTAACAGATTTCAATTTACTACAAATGTTTTGTCACTCAACATTAAAGATGTTTGACCAAAATATGTGGCATATTACCACCCAGCCTTACTGTATCAGTAGTAATCCCTGGGAAGAGTCGCAGGAGACCCACATTTTGGTTCATTTGTGTGTTAACGGTGAATTTGGAAGTTATTCTTGGTCGCCACACAGTGTCCCAGTTAACTAAACAATAAGAAATGATCATTTTTTACATCAGAATACAGACATTAGTGCAATTACATCAGAAATGGATAAGTTGACATGAAAGTGCAAGCAGTGGCAACAGTGTCTTGTGACACAGTCTGTTAAGATACTTGAAATCTACTACAAATTGCGAGATACATTTACTGTATATATGTTAGCCTAATATTTCTGACTTTTGCAGCCACAAATGTTGGAAGAACTTGAATTACTGTTGATGTCAACTTCAAAATTGGCTAATGGTGGAAGATTTGGTGTAGCAAATGCTTTGAAGCTTCCAGAGTCCACCTTGGTGACACGATTGCCTCTGTACAGCTTATGGTGAAAATAGAGGCTAACCTGTGTAGAAATAAAGAGATAAAAGGTTATTTTCTTGTCCCTTGTTCATTTCAAACAGTTTTCAATAATTGTATGTCCCTTTAATGTGCTTTATTGTGTGTCAGCCTTCACTGGAACATCTTATCATGGACCATTAAAACATGTACTGACTTATTTGACAGGTGGTGTACAGATTCAGTGCTACTAGTGGACGATTTTTGTGCATTTTTGTGCGATTTTGTGCGGGCAGACGTGACTAATCAAAAATGACATTTGTTGTCGATGATTTTCATTATTGATTAGCCTATTGATTTTTTTTTATTAGTTGTTATTTATTAGTTAGTGGTCAGCCCTAGTTTGCACGCAGACATTCACACTCTCTACAGACAATTTTAGCTTCTCCAATTCACCTATAGATGCAGTATGTTTTTAGATTGTGGGGAAACCAGAGCACCCAGAGGAAACATGGGGAGAACTACATGCAAACTCATAAAATGTATTTCATATTCAATAACACTATACAAACATTTTTAATATCTGTATCATACAGCTTGCTCATACAACGTTTGCAATGGATATAAAAAGCATCTCTTCACCTCGGGAATGACAAACTGTCCTGCAATCAACAGCGCCCCTAAGAGGTTGTCCCTCCCATCACTCCTCATCTCAAAGATGGGCACCTGATGCCACAAATAAAATGGTTAGTTAAAGGAATAGTTCATTTAAAATACCTTTAAAACATGTTACCTGTGAGCCAGTGAGGACGACAGGCTTTCCCAGATTCTCACACATGAATGATAAGGCAGAGGCGGTGTAAGCCATGGTGTCAGTGCCATGCAGAACAACAAACCCATCATAATCCTCATAGTATTTCTGTGAACGAGACAAAAATTTCTCAGCACTGACTGTCTAAAGTGGGGGAAAAAAATAGAGATGGTTAAAAAAGGCACCTCAATGTCTTTTACGATAGTTATCCAGTCATTTGGAGTCATGTTGCTGGAGTCAAGCAGGGGAGAGTACTCTAAAAACGTATACACAACCCTCTTGTCCAGTTTGGATCGTCTGAGGTAAGACAAAATGAGGCTCGATTTTAGTCAACATACACTGGGAATGTACCATAATGACAACAAGGTTCAAAAACAAATCAATATTTCATTGAGTAGCCTTAAACAAAAAAGAAAGAAAGCCCGATAAAAGGGCGCTCGCACCCAGGACCACCACCACCCGGTGGCCTTATAGGAAAACAGTGAACAGTGGGTGATTTCTAGGCTAGGTGATATGCTTTTAAGGGGTAAATATATGAATAATATGGCAAAGTCATTTTGATGTGCCAGACTTCCTGTTGTCAGCAGGTGGCGTTTTGACTATAACTGAATTTTTCCATGTATGTCTTCAGGCCAAGAGTCTTATCAAACATGTGAAGTTTGGGGCAGATCTACTACTGTTACACTTAAGTATACTTAAAATTATAATTTTATATACTAAAAAGTGGTAAAATTCAGTCCCAATCAGTATTGAAATAGTACACTTACTGCTAGTAGCCTAGATATTAGTATACTTACTATATAAAGTATACTTAAAAACATACTCAAATAAACTTGAAGTATACTTCTTTTTCGTAAAGGATTTAAGCTCACAAAAAAAAAAAAAAAATCAGAATTGTGAGAGATAACTTGTCATGTCTTACTTATGGGTCATCTCTGCAAATAAAGTGAAAGCATTTTAGTGGTTCTCAACTGGTGGGACAACACCCAAAAATGTATCACAAGACTTTTTTGATAGGATGAAAGAAAGTACTCTAAAAAAACAATTCTATAATACTCTTATATAATACTATAATATTCCATACATAAATGGTTAGTTAGGATGTCAGATTAAATAAACTTACAATATATTTTGTTCTTGACATCAAATGTTTATTGTGTTGTGGCTAATACTAATACAAAATAGTGTTGTTTTAGCCCTGTGCACAGCACATCCACTGTTCTTTAAGCATTTACACAATTTTCTAAAAATTGTCAGTGCTTAGTAGGCTACCTTTGGATATTGTACAGGTCATGGTAACTTTTTTTTTGTTTTACTTTACTTTACTTTACTTTACTTGTGCATGATAAATTGATTTTGATATTGAAATTGAAGTGGTATCACCAAATAATTGACCATAACTCTCTGGGTCCTGATCAGCCACCTCCTAAAATAAACTTGATTACATGTTTGCATGGGAACTTACGGCAGCACCAGTGTTTTATCCTCAGGCTTGTAACATTCATACAGCTTTGTCCGTTGTGCGTAAGGCTCATCATGCAGAATGGGGAGTGTGCGTAGAGTTTTAACAAGAGCATTTGGTTCTGGAGACAGAACTGCAAATATAAAAGAAAAGCATGTAAGAAAGTTGCATCTGACAACAGGGTTCACAACAGGCTCTGGGTTCAGGCTAAATTCCGAGCTCGGAACTCTGCCCTTGGACAGCATGCCAAATACGAACATTTTATGCTTTTAATTTACAGAATTTGATCATTTGTGACTGTGAACTTGTAAAAAGCAGAACTCTGTTCATTCTTTTGATATAGCCTACTGACTGTTTGCATGTTCATACTACAGAATATTCTGGGGGCCATGACATTTTTGTAAACATGAAGAGTTCAGATGCAAAAGCCTCTAAGTGCCATTTGAAATTTTTCTTCTAGAATGATAATTTTTATAAAGCTTGTATATTTATGTTCAGTAATTTCACTTAAATGGCAATGAAGATTAGGCCTACCTATTAATTGTCATTTAGGTGAAATTACTGAACTTCAATATACAAGCTTGATAAAAATTATCATTCTAGAAGAACATTTCAAATGGCACTTAGAGGCTTTTGCATCTGAACTCTTCACATGTAAAAATTATTAGGGCCCAAGCCCAAAGGGCGAAGGCCCTATTGTTTTCCTTAGGATTATTTATTAGGGCCCAAGCCTTGAAAAGGCGAAGGCCCTATTGTTTTCCTTAGGATTATTTTTTTTTTTTTTTTTTTTTTCTTTTATTTTTCTTACGACTATTCGGGCACTTTTGGGGCTCTTAACGTGCACGAAAACTCTTGAAACTTTGCACGCGGGTCAGAACCCGCGGCCATCAGGGTCGGGGTGAAGATGGTACCCGGGCGTGGCAGGGGGGCTCGACAGCGCCCCCTGGAACGGGGTCCGAAAACTTGGTCCATAAATCAAACACGCTTGTATGTAAGAATATGAAACTCGGTACACATATAGATCTCATCGGTTCATATGTACTTCATGCTCTTACTTTTTACCCCAGCCCAACAGGAAGTCGGCTATTTAGGGTTGTTTGTAAAACGCATGCAATGGAATTTAAAGTACTTCTCCTAGAGAATTCAAAGAAATGCCTCGAAACTCGGTCAGCATGAAGTCAAGACATTGAGGATGAAAAATTGCGAGGGGATTTTTGATATCTCGAACGGTTTGGCCGTGGCGGGGAAACGAAATTATGGCGAGAAACGTGAAACAGGAAGTGTGTTATAACTTCTGCATACATTAACTGATCTTGATGAAACTTCACCAGTGTGTTCGCTGTAAGAGGCCGATCACATGGATGTGACTATTGTGAGTCAAAGTTATAGCGCCACCAACTGGCAGCAGGAAGTGTGTCACTTTCAAAATGCTTCGAAATCACCCTCTTATTTTAACCCAATTTGCTTCAAACTTCATCTGTATAATGTAAACATACGCCAGATGTAGACCTGTGAATGGATTCTTGATATCTTTGATACTGTTGCCGTGGCAACACATCAAACTTTAAAATTCTTTTTTGATGCTTTTGAGACTCTTAGCATGCTTGAAATTGCATGAAACTCGACAGACATGTCACATATATTAGCCAGTAGACATGTGCAAAGTTTCAGGAACGGGCGTGGTGCAGGGACTCAGTAGCGCCACCTTTTGACAAAAGTGAGAGGGTTAGTTTCATAGTTTTACCTGCAATCTTAAAACTCGGTAGGCATATTGTTCAGATCAAGCCGGACAACTTTCTAATTTACAGTTTTTGGTTCCGAACAACAGGAAGTCAGATATTTTGGTTTGAATGGGATGTTTTGGAGTAATCTCTGTCCCTCTCTCCCTCTCTCTGCATACCTCTGTGTCTGTGGGGGGAGGGGGATGTGTCTGTTTGAGTGACAAAGCTTTTAATTATTGTTGATCAAGGTTTCGGGGGCTTTTGGGGCCCTTAACATCCTCTAAAACTCTTGAAACTTTGCACACGGGTCAGAACCCGTGGCCATCAGGGCCGGACTGAAGCTGGTACCCGGGCGTGGCAGGGCGGACCGACAGCGCCCCCTGGACTGGGATTCGAACACTTGTCCATAAATCAAAGACACTTGCATGTAATAATATGAAACTGTGTACACTTATAGATCTCATTGGGTTAAACAACTTTCGTGCTCTAAGTTTTACGACATCCCAACAGGAAGCCGGCTATCATGGTTTGTTTGGAAACGCATACCCCTGAAATTCTATTTAATTCTCCTTGGGAATTGATCGGATTTCAAGCAAACTCGGTCAGCATGACGTCAAGACATTGATGATGCTAAATTCCGGAGGGATTTTTGATATCTCGAACGGTTTGGCCGTGGCGAGGAAATTAATTTTATGACTAAAAAAGGACACATAAAGTGTGTTATAACTTTGCTCGTTTTACCTACAGTTACAAAACTTGCCACGCATATTGTTCTCATCAAGCCAATCGACTTTCTAATTTAAAGTCATTAGCTCAGAGCAACAGAAAGTCAGATATTGTAGTTTGAATGGATTTCTTGTCCCCCTGCCATTCTGTTTGTGTGTGTGTCTGTGTGGGGAGGGGAGCAGAGGGGAGGGGAGGGAGGGAGGGTTGGTGTCTGTGTTTATGTGTGTGTGTGTGTGTGTGTGGCTGGCTGTATGATTTTTCCTGCATTAAAGGATAAAGAAATCTCTAAGTCCTTGTCTTTTCGCATAACAATTTTTGTATTTTTTTTTAAATGACAAAATATGCATCACTCCTCTTAAGTGGTTTATTTTATTCCCACCAAACTTTTTCAACATGATGAAAATACATTAAAGAAGCATAATTGTGAATATCTATTGAATATCTCTAATTGTTTTGCTATGGCGAGGGATTAAAGTCATGTAAAAAAAAAAAAAAACACTAAAAGCTTCATATCTTCTAAAAATGTAATTATACACCATTTATTTCTAGATAAAATTATACAAATATCAGAACTAAACCCATTTTATTCTTGTTTTCAATTTAAGAATAATGTACAAGTTTAAAAACAGCCAGGATGCACTATTCAGTTAAAAAATAAATATATCAAATAATACATAGGGCTATACTGCCCTCTTGTGTTCAAAATCAGGTAGGCCTGTTGTATTTAAATATAGGTAGCTGCTATGTGACTCCGAGAATTTTTTCTCACCGGTTATTTGACGTGTAACACCGGGGGCTTTTATATCGCTAAGTTAAAAGTGAAAGTAAAGTAAGGACATTTATAGTGGTGGCGCTCGCAGTGCGCTCGAATGAATTTCTATGGAAGTAGAAATGAAAAAACGTTCGCTCTGTTTTGCTCGCTCGTCGCCATGGATGCGCACTGTAATGAATGCCACTGCAGCCGCATACTTTTTAGTGTCACTTTAAAATTAGTGCAATATCGGGGGCCAATTGCTTGAATTGTGAGTTCAATAGTCTATTATTTTTCACGGAAAACACAACAACAAAAGAGTACAATGACAGATTCGCTTAAATAGGCGCTTTTACATAAAATAGCCTATTCCGTCATCATCTTTTCAGTCAGCACTTCACTCTCGTGATTAATGAAATTTATTGCTGATATTTGCTGCAACTTTCGTTCCGCTCACAATTTAGTAAGCAATCACGCTTCAAATGTGTTTTTATTTTATTTTTGTGTATATATATGTGTGTGTATATATATATATATAGCTTATGTTTCAAATATGAGTTAATTAACAATCGTTTGAAAGAATGATACTTTTAAACATATCACTAAACCATCATTAGGTGTCGCCAGGCGACCGTCTTAATGAGCGAGTCATTGATTCATTTGTTCGAACGATTCGTTCGAACGGCTGAGTCATTCATGAATGAGACAGATTATGGATTGGTCATTGAATCTTTGAGTCAACCGATTCGTTCAAAATGCTGAATCATTCAGTAATGAGAACGCGTTGCTGTGAGATGCTCGATGGTTCTGCTGTGATCTTTGTTTAACTATTTTCGCTGCTGAAACAGAAAAAAGTCAATATTGCATCTAAAATGTAAGTGATTTGACTTGTGTGTGTCTGTGTCTGTGTCTGTGTCTGTGTCTGTGTGTGTGTGTGTGTGTGTGTGTGTATGATTGTGTCTGTTACAGTGATTGTTTAACCCTTGTTAAAGTTTAGGCTGTCTTTTTGGATATATATCTTTTTATATAAAAAAAATAGGCATACAACCCATATATTTTAAATGTATTGTTTGCTTTAAATTACATTAAGATTTGTATGTTTGGTAATTGAACCTGAATGAATTTTAAATGAATGTGCTATATTTCAGAGTTTTCCTTAAAATTTGAACTAACTTTATTCTCATCTGAATGATAGACTATTTATTTTTGTATAAAATAAAAAAGAGATTTTGGTTGGGTGACAGTTGTAGTTTACAGTTTGACAAAAGCACAATGTTGTGTTTTATTGCGATTGTACACAAATATAAGTAAACACTTTGCAGTTTGAATAATGTCCTGTATGAACAAAAGGACGGAGTATGTTTTAATGTCTACATTGTTCAATCACGTTTCACACACACACACACACACATACACACACACAAACTTTTTTCTAATCAGATCAGGCAAGTAATATTCTGTCTTGGCACACTTGATTTAACTTTCAATCTTGTGTACTTATTTCATGTGTCCATTAAGTCCATGAGACCGTAGGGTGTCTCATTTTTCATTTTAGGTTTCAGAAGGTTGCTCACGCATATGATATGTGCCCTCAATGCACACTTTTGCAGAGCCCACACCAATGCAAGCTCTACAGTACACATCTTCTCAACAGTCAAAGCGGGGTTAAGTTATTGCCCGTCATGCACAGTAACCCTAAAGGCACCAGGGTGGCGGTGCCACCGGCTTGTTTATATATATATATATATATATATATATATATATATATATATATATATATATAAATATAGCTGCGAGCAGCGATGAAGGGCCAAAGCCGGTGGCACCGCCACTCCGGTGCCTTTAGGTAACTAAAGGCACCGGGGTTGCGGTGCCACCGGCTTGGGCCCGTAATCGCTGCTCGCAGCTATATTTATTCTTCTTATTATTTTTCTG